AATAGAAAAAAGTCAATGTATCTCACAATATAGCAAATCATAAAAATGCAGATAAAAATTATTACCTGTTAAATTAATAAGGATTTTTAAACGCTGGTGAGAGTTTCCTGGGGCAGCCTCTCTTATACCAGTAGTTATAGTTTAAATTGGCAGTTACAACCTTCTGAAAAATCGTTTGGAAATATGCATGAAAGGATCTTAAAAATATTTGTACCCTTTGATATAATAATTTTGCCTGTAGAAATATGTCTTCATGAAGCAATAACAAATATAAACATGTTTATTATTTACAAGAGCAAAAATTAGAAACCTTCTATATATTCCATAGGAGGGGAATGGTTAATAAATGTTGATACTTATGATGAACAACAAAAATGTTTTTGACGTTTTAGTTACAAGAGCAAACTTCTGACAATATAATATTAAATTAAAAAAGGCAGGATACACTTTAGAAAGGTGATTGATTATACATATGTCAAAAAATTAAAAAATGAAGGAAATATACAAAAATGATAAATAGGGTTTTTACTGGGTAATGAGATGATTTAAGATAATTTAAGATAATGCAGCTTTCACCATTTAAGATAATTTTTTAAACCTTTTTTTTCATATTTCTAAAACTTTTGACAAAGAGCTTCTATTACTTTCAATCAGAAAACTTCAAAAAGATAGTTTAAAAATGAAATATAATCTAACGTTCCATGAAAAAATCTACTGTATCCTGCTCAGTTTGTCCAAACATATTTTTGAAAGTGTCTACTTGCTGTTTAGTCTTTCCAAACATAAACATGGATGGTACAATGCAGAATGACCAAAAATTAGACGCTTCACTCTGGAAATACTGGAAGGTATTTGACTGACTTTAAGGTATGTTTAAAACAAACATACATTTTTTTCCTAAATCTTTTGATTCTAACAAAAGAGGAAGATATAACTGGGGAAAAGTCAAGAGAAAGCCTTACATTATTTATTTGTATAGTAAGCATATGGCCTCTGGTAGCATAAGAAACAGCACGGACTCCCTCTGGGAGGCTGTGGGTGGGTCATCCTCTTCAAGAGAGTGGTCTGGGGTGAGGGACATAAATGGAATGGCAAGCAGAGAGGGCAGGGGAGGGTCTGCCCTGGCAATCAAGTCAGCCAAGCCCACCCTGGCTCTCAGTGGGCTGGCAGATGGCACAGCCAGATTGTCCCACCAGCCTGGAGCAACTAACTAAAACAATTACATTCAAGAGGGGATAAATTCATGCTACAGTCATATTCTTAATATTAACTGGGGATGGTGGGGTCATGTCCTAATTGGTTTAAGTTGTGAGGAGATAACTCTGGTAAGGGATACACAGAGAAAGGCACAAGCTGGCTTCTTTAGGAACACAAGCCATCAACACTCTGAGAAAATCAATTTAACACCCCTCATCACTCTGCCATCCCCCCAGCCCTACCATTTGATACCATTTGGAAAGTGTTCTTTTTACCTTTACTCATGTGTGTTTCCATGAAATCAGAGTAAGCAACTGTGGGGACCTTGGTGGGGTACATAGAGTCTAGAAAAACAGACATAGTTTTGTTGGGTTTGTGCTATGTTTAAAGAAAATTGAAATCTTGAATGAGTTGCCAACAGTTAAAAATTGAGAGGCTTGGTGTAATTAGGATTTGAGGCTTTTAGAAAAATTAAATCTAGCAAGAGTGAACTGTCATTGTCAATACGGCAACAATCAGCTAGAAATGAGTGACAGATAAGCCCTGAAGATGATACAGACCCCACCATTGTGCCACAGTCCTCACTCAGCCCATTTGCTCCTTTGGATTTCCATGCCTGGTCCCTGTATGTATTCTTGACTGCGATCAACAGAATTGCTCTTACCAGTCAGAAGCTTTCGGGGCTCAGAGTGATTCACAGAGCTGAGCTAGCCTTGAGCTGCCTAGGATAAAAAGCCTCCATTGATACAAAAATTCACTCACAGGAACACTTCCTGTCAGTCAGTCTGATAAAGACAGACCCAATTAACTACTATAAACATTCTTAAAGACATGTTAGGAGAGTAGAAAGAGAGACATGTCCCTCTGGAAATCAGGGGTGCTACAGGCAGATAGCTAGAACTGGGGGGCCGAGGAAGATTGGGATATCCTATGGGAAACTCTCAGCCTAGTGGTGGGAACTTAGTAGGAGGTTAGTACATATTTCTTTCCGTCTTCCTAAGAGCAGATGCAGAGCACAGCAAGGAGGAAATGCAGCCAGAACAGTGTAATGCAATGCACACAGGCGCAGCATGCCAAGAGAGAAGGAAGGAGGTAATTGCAGCCCAGAGAGCAGGAGCAGCAACAGAACAGGTCTAGGGAAGCTAGGGTGACAGAGGCAGGCAGCATCGTAATAGGGACTGTGCCACTGCAGAATGATTCTGACATATCTTTGATCGTCATACAATCTATGTGGTTAAGTAGGTGCACAGAGTAGATGAAGGCACTAATCCTGGAGAAATTCAAAAGAAATTTACATCAACACTGGTGAGGAGAAAGAATTTATCCCTTTAGTGAAGGAGTGCTGGTTAAAACTGTAATAGATTTTTTAATAATATATAAAAAATACAGAGAATATGTAACGTACAGAATAGCTAATTTTCATTTGAAATACAAAATTTCTATAGTTAGCAGAAATAAGTTAATTGTGTAATAAAGTTTATTTTTGGCTTACCAATGGTGTGGCTTTAGTTACTTTGGAATAATTTATTTCTAAAGTCTCAATTTAAAAAAAAATCAGTCCTTAACTGAAGTAAAATTACCAGAAACATCATGTCACTACCGTAATAACCTGTCAGAGAATGTTACACAAGGGGTGCAGCACAGCGGAAAGCACGGTTACAGATGCAATTATTATTTTTTCTAGCCCTTTACTTCCGGTCATAGCCAACCAGTCACTATACATATGGTAGCTTTTGCAGCATTTATTTCTTTAAATATTTAACAGTCTGAGAGGCAGTGACTCTCAATAACATGTAGCGTTTCCAGCACATTATGAGTGCTTAATAAATTTTAGAACAGTAAAATCCTGTATGATGAAAAACAGCAGTCAGTAAAACTATTACAGTCTACAATATTTTAAAGCCATAGCAATAACTAGTTTAAAAAGAATAGAAAGCAAACAGTGCATTGATTAAATCATGGTCATAAAGGAACATTTATATTCATTAAAAAAATCCACCCAGGTAATTTCCCCTTATATGTCTTAGGGGATGGAAAGAAGGCAGGGGGAAAGTGAACAGTGTGGATTAAAAAACAACCCTTCCACCCCCGAAAAGCCATGTGGAGCTCTGCTGACGACGAGCTGGGGCAGCTACATTCGTTGCAACGGTGGGGTGCTCCAAGCGCCTTCGAAACGTCCTCTGCTCCAGCACCAACTGGCAAAACCCTCTAATTTCCTAGATGCCTTCCTGCTTCAAAGGATTTGGTTCTGGAAGGGGAGGCACCCAGGTGGGTGTGTGCGACACTTCCAGACGTGAGCCGGGACCCAGTGCCACCGAGGGAGCGCTCTTCTACCCGGAGAGGAAGTTAAGCCCGTCGAACTCCAGCCGGGAAAACGCGGGCTTGGGACCCGCGGCCGCTCGCTTCCAAGATCTGCCCCCCAGCCCCCCGGGCCTTCGCGGCTCAAGAAACCGGCGGCGAGGGCTGAGGACCCCGCGCTCTAAGTTTGGGGAAGGAAGTGAGGAAAAAAAATAGAGCTGCTCCTTTAAGAACTTCCTTTCCCTTTTACTCTATGTTTACATAACACGGGGGCCGAGCCTCCGCAGGGCCGAGGGGGGCGGGGAGTGGGCGCGGGCGGCCCCACGCGCCAGGGGAGAGGAGGGGAGAGGGGATCCGCGAGCCCGGGGCGGGCGGCTGGCTCCACGTGGGGCGGGGCGGCTCCCACCTGCCCGCGCGCCGGCCCCCGCCTCCCCCGCGCGGCCCCCGCCCCTCGTGCGCCGGCTCCCTCCTCCTTCCTTTCCTCCCTCCCGCGGGGCTTCGGCGGCGGCGCTCGGCGCGGGCAGGTCCCCCTCCTGCCTGGTCCCATTTGTTGCCGGCTCTGACTCCGGGCGGCCGCGGCGCGCGGAGCTCCGGGGAGTCAGGCGGGGCAGCCAAGCAGCCAAAACGGAGCAGCCGCGGGACTGGCCGCCCCGCGCCCCCTTTGCCGCCGTGCCCTTCCCCGGCGCGCTCACCCCGTTCTCGGGATGGGATTGTAGCGGCGGCGCGGACTCGGCGGGGATCGCGACGGAGGCGGCGGCAGCGGCGTCCGCGGCAGAGCGGGGCTCCATGTTTTCCCCTGGCCAGGAGGAGCACTGCGCCCCCAATAAGGAGCCAGTGAAATATGGGGAGCTGGTGGTTCTGGGGTGAGTCCTGGGGTCCCCGGTCCCGGGCAGGGGGGCGGGCGGGGAGAGCCCGCATCCTTGAGTGGGGCTGGCGGGTGGCTCGGCGCTATCCGGTGACCGCCAGGGCGCTCGGGGCGGCGGGAGCGGCTCGCAGGGCCGGGACGGCGGCGCGGGGGCGGGATGCCCCCCTTCGGCGCGCGCTCGGAGCGCTGCGGCGGGTGCCGGGCTGCGCTGTCCGCGGGGAGGACGCGGCAGAGGAAGTGGTGGCCGGGACTCGGGCCACCCCGCGGGGGCAGCGCCGAGCACCCGGTCCGCGGCCGTACCGTGGGGGGGCAGGCAGGGGCTCCACTTCCCGCGCGCCGCGTCCGGGCTGGGGAGAGCGGGCAAGGACCCGGGGTGAGGCGCAGCCGTCGCAGGCACTTCGCGGGGTCGCTTCCCGAGGCCGAGAAGCCGGCCGGCCCGGGGCCCGGTCTTCCCACCTCCCGCGCTGACCGTGGCTCCCGCGCCCCTGAACTCCGAGCGCGGCTCCGTGAGCTTGGGCCGCCGCGGGCTGTGGGATTCCCGGCTGCGCTCTGCAAATTCTTCCGCTGGCCGCCGCAGCCCGCGGGCGGTGAACTGTGTGTGACCCGGGACGGCCGGCCGGCCCTCCGTTTCTCCCCGCCGGGAGTGCGCGGAGGGGAGGGGCCAGGATGCGGCTGCTCGGGGCCTGGCACCCAGGCGCGGGCCGCATCCCCCCGGCCTCGCCGATGCCCTCCCGGCGGCAGGGAGCTCGCCACCCTCGCCCGCCTCGGCTCCCTCTCCGCTGGTGAAAGCCGCATTTTGAAGATAGTAATTATGTACAATCGTTAAACGGCAGCAATTAGAGACTTCATCTACTTCCTGAGTTTCCTTGTGACATTTCTATTGTTTACCCTTAATAAGCCAGGACAGAGGCTTCGCGGGATTAAAGCTGGATAAAGTGGGCAGTGAAAGGGGAAGAGGAGGGGGGAAGTGCAGGAAACTGGGTGGGGGGGAACGAGCAACTTGGGATTAGTGTTGAAGAAAGGATTATTTTTTTCCCTTTGGATGTGTCGCTCCTGGAAACCCGCGCTTTTGTCCTTCTGCGTTAAAAGACCTGTATTCAGAACATCCTGGTCGCTGATAGGTAGGCTTAGCACACAGATGAGGACTCATGGCTGTGGGAGGACTCAGGGAACTTTGCAAAACGTGTTTTGATAAGTAAGTGCCTTGATGTCAGTGCTGACTTAATAATTTTAAAGAGAGGAGTTTTTAAGAGAAAATTCCAGACCCCGCGCAGTTCAAAGCTTCCCAGTTTTCCCGACTTTGTTGCTAGTGCATTAAGTGGGGTGGTATTGGAAATCCCATTACCTATTTTGAAGCTGTTTGCAGATAAGTGTTTTTCTCACCTGCATCTTCATTGCACTTCAAAGATAAGTATCAGGGTTCCCTGGAAGGCAGAAAGAATGACAGTAGAAAAGGCACAGTTTAGTCTGTCTTATGTAACTTCAGCCCAACCTAATTTTGTGGAGTTTGGTTTTGTTTCTGTGGCTGCCTTCACAGTATGTTTAACACTGTGAACTTGACGCGGAAGATTAACGTCAGCCAGGACTTTATTTCATTATTTCCTTTAGAGGAAATCATGGTTGAGATGTTTCAGAAAAGCAGTGAGAGGGCCTGGAGAGGTTTTGTGTTCATAGCTGGAAGTGCAGGGCATTCCGAAGCCACAGAAAGGATTTAAACACTGGATTGTCATAGTATCATAGTCTTACTCCACAGGAGTCTGTGGAAATCACGTTGGAGTTGCATATGCTCAGCCCTTTGCTAATGCTTTTCCAGGAGACCGAAGTATGGCATAGTTGGCACTTAGTGGGCAAGACACTCAACTGTCATTTGTGTATCTAGTCTGTGTTTGTGCTCTTGAGGCATTGCTGATGCAGTAAGAACAGGGAACTTTCATTTTAGTGTGGAATGGCAGGCATAAACAGAAACATGCAAATAGATGAGTAATAAGTGACAATTGCAGGTGTAGCCACGTTCTAAAGAGGAGTTGATAAACTTGGAGAGTGACTGCTTAGGTGAGTATTACTTTCTTCGACTGGAAGGTCAGAGAAGTTCTCTCTGAGGAAGTGAAATGTGAGTAGAGGATGCTAGTCTGGTTTTTGAATACTTGAATTGTGATGTTTTTCTTTTTTTGAGAGTAGGTTTCTGACTCTTTAGCAATGTTGAACACATTGAAGAGTGCAGGTGAAAGAGTGACTAGGTAGATAGATTTTTAAAGAGAACCTTACTCATATTCCACCCTTAGGACTTGAGACCGCATACTTCATCTTAAAACAACAATAACATTCACAGAGAATTAATACCACCTTTATGATGTTATCTTTATGTTCTCTGGGACATTAATATTGGAAAACAGAAAATTTCAAGTAGATTTTCTGAATAGTGAGATGATTCCTGAGATCTAAAAATGCCTAATATTTGGTATTGATATAAGCTTTTGCTTGTCAAATACAGGGCTTTTTCTTTTTAATGGTTGTGTGACCTTTTTGCTCTCTCTTGAATGTCATAGTAAAATATTACTAGGAAATCCTGGAGAGCAGAATGAAGAGCTGATAGATGTCTATATCCTTATATAAATACTTCTGTATCTTTTCGTGTGTTACGCGGTATTATTAAGAGATTTCCACATAGCTAGGATTTTAGTGAGCTCATCACTTTCTGGGCAGGTTAGTGGAATTTCCTCTTTGTGATTCCAGCCAGTTGATAAATCATAGCCACGATTCTTTGTTGTGCCCATTACTTAACCAAAGGTACAAAAAAATGACTGCTCTACCCAGCAGGTCTTTTTACTATTTTTAAACTTGCAGATGTTTTAAGGTTAGGGAAGTGGCTCAGGATTTGAGGGGCAGTTTGGTATAGTGGGAAGAATATGCATTCACAGGTGGGCGACCTGCATAAGCCCTGCTCTCTTGCTGACTGGCTCTGTGACTTTGGCTTAGTTCCCCCTCCTCTCTGTTTCTTTATCAATTGCAAAATGTGTTTGGATTAGGTGGCCTTCAGGGACCCTTCCTGGTCTGTGCTCAGTTATTCTGTTCAGTGGCTCAGATGTGGAAGATAAGTAGTTACATAATCTAAGTTCCCTGACAGTTATTTTAATAGCAGCAAAGACCAATGCTGTGGTGGTTTTTTTATGGAGATGTTTGTAAAAACAGAACGTTTCAAAAAGTTGTAATGATATACATCTATTAGACTCACTGGTGTTAGGTTACCCATGAGAGCATTTAAATTGGGTAAAACTTTATGTTCCAAGTTTAAGAAAGACAATGATGTTTTGAAATTTAGCTAAATAGACTGAAATAACTAGCGTAAAGAGGGGATGACCTCATGAAAACAATTTAGGACTGGATAGCATTAGGAGAAATACCTAATGTAGATGACGGGTTGATGGGTGCAGCAAACAACCGTGGCACTTGTATACGTATGTATCAAACCTGCACGTTCTGCACGTGTACCCCAGAACTTAAAAGTATAATTAAAAAATAAAAAAGAAATTTAGGACTGGAAGGAGGCCTAGAGTCATGGTACACGTTTAGCACTTGTGTTTTGTTCATGAAGAAACTGAGGCTTCCGGAAGGAAAGAGACTTGTTCAGGTTCATAGTTGATCTGGGCTGAGCTGGGTGGCTGTACTCCCACTTCATCCTTTCTCCACCTTGAGACATTCCAGCAGTGCTGTCAGTTCCTCAAAGCATCCTTTCTGGATTCAATTTGAAACATGTGGCTCTCTTGTTGACTAATGGCCCATCGTGGTTTTTGGAAAAATATTGCTTACTCTCTTAGTTCCTCTCACTTCACATTGAATGGATAATGCATTTTGCAAGACTTTTTTTTTTTTCTTTGAATGCTTCACGAGATGTATTTTTATTGGTTCTCTCAACCAAGGGTTCTTAACCTGGGGTCTACAGATGGAATTTGGAAAGTTCTTGAACTTGGTTGGGGGAAAAATGTGTCTTTATCTTCATGATATTCAAACTGCAATTTAACATTTTCACTCAATTATCAGTGTAGGCAACAGAAAGACTTGCTTCTAGCTTTTGTTATTTAATGCATTCAAACAGAAGCGCACATACGTATTGCAATTTAAGACTGTTTTGTTAATTAAGTATAACTGATTCCAGTTGTAATCCTTTGTGTTTTATATGTTTAAAAACATTGGTCCGAGAAGGGCTCAGTAGGCTTCCTCAGACTGCTAAAGGGATTCTTGGCACAAAAAGAGAGTAAGAGCCTCTACAAATGAAAATTTATAAATATGACTGAAAAATGAAGTATCTTAGTAGAAATTGATGAGGCTCTGCAAGAGGAAGTAGGTAGGTCCCTGCCTCATTTCCTTTGGATGATGCAGTGTCCTGTTAGGTAAGACAAAGAGGACTACAGTAGCTTGTAGAGTTGATGGTTTTGTTTTTTTTTCTTTAGCAGATCCCAATTTCTATATGCTTTTTGTTGTTGCTGTAACCTTGGCACTTTGCCTTGACTACTCCACCCTTTGGTGGCCATAAGAAACCTTCAAATACACCCTAACACTTTTCCTTTTCTCATCCTCCACTCTAATTTGGGCCCAAAGACATCAGACACTGGTATCTTTTGTAGACTAAAAGGCCTTTGAACTTTAAAAAAAAAATTTATAAAACAAAATCTTTCCTGTCACTCAGCATGTGGGGTGATCTGTTTATGTGGATGGAGTGTGTAATTCTGTAGGCTGTTAAGGGTGATGGTGTTACCGGCTTTGGGTTGCTATATTTTCCTGTACTAACTTTAGCCTTGCTTGGAATATGTGGCTGTCTGTGTTGCTGTGTGGTTTCTAGTCTGGCTTTCTCAGATTCGTTTCTCTTTTTAACACACCACGACTGAAACCTTCATTAGGGCTTTTCATTTCTGGTTGTATTTCTTCCTGTGATGAATATTTGGGGATGCTGTATATATATAAAAGTAAAACAGGCTTGATTCAGGTTTAGTAATTTTACCAAACATTTTGTCAAAAAGATAAAATACTTACGTACGAAAGACTAAAACAAAACAAAATAGCCGTTGCTCTATTTGAGGGAGACCAGTATTGTCACATTGGAGTACTGGTTTCGTATCTGCTGTGCCGGGCTTGCGGTGTGGCCTTCCTGAAAGTACATATGTAGGGTTGTAAGTCGGCTTTTGAATGGAGACAGCAGCAACTTGGTAGACCTCGTTGGTATGGGAGGGAATTAACTGTGAAAAGGAGTTTGATAATGTCTTTGGTTGAATTAAAAGTTTCTCCTGGGGTGTGCAGAAATCTGTTTTATAAAAAGAAAAGTAAAGGTTAGAATAATTCAGTTTTTAGTTCTTACTGAGCTTATTGTCACCTGTCACCTTCATGTTCTGGAAAATAATAAGAGTCGAAAGTGCTTCCTTTTTTTTTTTTTTTTTTTTTTTTTTCCTTTTAGCTTTTTCTAAATCAGCTGTTCTCAACCACTGTCTAAACTACCAAACTACCTCACAGGTGATGATCAGTCTTGAGGGTGTGTGGCCAGTAATTTATGACAAGTAATAAAGTGTGGATCTTTCAAATGATTCAGAGATGTTCTGTTAATAGTGCCATTTTTCACCCTCTTGCATTCTGATATGTTTTCTCAAGTGGGAGAGAAAGGGGTGGAGTTCTATCAGGCGAGCCAGGAATGTATTCATTCAGCAAATATTTATTGGCTGTCTACTCTTCCAGGCATGAGGAATACAGCTAGGACAAGGCAGACACATTCCTTGTCCTGGTGAACTGCTCTCTTGTTCTTATCCCAGCCCCTTTGTGAATAACCGTTACTGATACACGGTTCATTTATTTATTCCTCAAATATTTGAGCATCTGCCACTCGTCAGATGCTGTACATTGCACTAAGGGATGCACAGGTGAACAAGACACTTGTGCTCCCTACTGCTGCAGCAGCGCTGACAGCGCCTAGCTTGAAGAACAGAAGGCTGGGATTGGGTTGGTGGATGAGTTAGCAGGGTCCCTTAGCCTTGCTCCAGGATGAGGAGGCGATGACCAGGAGGGAGGTCAGAGGGAATAAGTGCTTTCCGAAGAAGAGTCGGAGTATTCTACAACTTAGAGATGAGCGCATGCAACTACTTTGAGGAACAGAGAAACACTTTCTTTGGCTAGAAAAGAATGATTGAATGAAATAATGTGAGGGGTGATAATGGGGGGACGATCACGAAGAGCTTATAAGATATTGGAAGAGTTTTGGACTTTAGCCTAAGGTTACAAAAGACTGTTGTAGGGTTTTCCAGTGTGAGATGGGAGTGAAGAAAGCTCTCTGCAAAGAAGGCACAGTGGAGTTAGAAGGAGAAACTGAGGCTGAAGCCCAAGAAGGCAAAGAGAGAATGGAATGTGAGCTAGAGGGCAGCCATCTTGCTTCTAGTTCCTGGTCCCAGTATCTCTTGAGACCTATTTTTGTGTGATTGACCATTCCTTCAGTGACTCAAAATATTGACTGAGGACCAGCACTACTCCCAGCCCTGGGCCACACCAGCAAACAAGACAGACGGCTTCCCTTCCTGCCTGCTTGGAGTTTACCTTTTGTTGGGAGAGGTGAGCCATCAAATGAATAGATAAAAAATGGAATTTCAGAAACTGCTGGGACGAAACTAAAGCAGGATAAGGAGGAAGAGAGCGACTGGGTGGGCAGGGGTGGGTGAGTCGGCAGGGTAAAATGCTAGGAATAAGGTAGCAAAGGACCCTTTTGGACAGGATAATCTGGAAAGCTTTTCTGGGAAAATAATCCTGTTTGCTTGGAGAGTCCCCGCTTCTTTCAATTTTTATTTACTTTTTTCCTGTTTAAGCCACCTTAAGTGGGTTCTACTTTTACAATCAGAAGATTCCAAGTATTCTTTTGTTAAGGAGGCAAAGTATATAAGCAGTTTACTGAAGGGAAAATAGAAGTGTAAACAAGTGTAAGGACAGATAGTTAAGCATCCCTGGACAAAAACACAGCTCTGCCCTGTGTGCTGCGTGGCAGGTGCCTAGAGGGGACATTGCATTTCCATCAGAGCGTATTGCCCCTTGAGAGTAGGAACCCTGACTTCCACCTCCCTTGGAGTGCTGGGCTTACCTTTCTGGTGCATGTTAGGCACTCGCTTAGCCTCTTGGAGAAATGGGTTTCTGTGACACACCCTAGTGTGCCACCGTATATGGAGATGTGGCCAGGGCTCATTGAATGTTTCTTGACTTGGAAGGAGCACTCTGCTTCTGTAATACAACTGCAGTTTTGTAAACAATCCTACCAACCTTTAGGGTCCAAGTCAAAGTTTTTCTGAGAAACGAAACATGTGCTTGACTGACATCAGATATTCCAGTTTCAACTTTTGTTTGTTTTTCTTTTTGTCAGTCACCTAGCAGTCATGTTGTCACCTGCAGAAAGTCCTGCCTTGAAGGGAAGCAGGCCATCTGTTCTGATTCCACCAGCTGCTCAGAGCTGCATTGCAGTGCGCCACAGTGGCGTTGAAAGGCTGTGGTCATTAATGCCTGTTAATGATGCTGGAAATACTGTGGCATTCAAGCCTCTTGGATGACAGACCTAATACATATGCATCAGGGGCATTTTCAGCAGCAGGTTTAAGGCTACTGCGAGTCATTCTCGATTGAGGTTTTCTTTCCAGCCATCCACATAATGCTTCTCACTCTCAAACACTTCACTCTGCTTATCTACGCTTTTCTGCTCATGCAGAGTCTGTTTTTAGGATAAGAAATCATTATTCAAGCTTTGTACTTCCATTCTTATTAGTACTGGCTTAACAGAATTTAACCAAAGCGAGCAGTTGTTGTGTTTGGCTTCTAGGCTGTTCATGTAAAACGGCTGATCATGATTACCAAGTGCTTTGGAGGACCTCGGTGCCCACCCCCTTTCCCATCTTGTGCTTCCTGCTCCATGATTATAGAACACTAATTATAACCAGAGCTGGTGATGGGTGAGCGATTAGGCTTTTCTGGACTGATTGATTGGTGATTGATTGATTGCGTTGGGGAAGGCCCTTCCTGCAGAAGGATCATAGAAACAAAGGAGTGTGCTTTCACACCCGATCACAGAAAATTATGCTGACTAGATCCTTGATGTAGTATGTAAGATTACATTATGGTTCGGGTAATTTCATTACATGCCCTGGATAGAATTCAGGATGCAACCTGACAAGATTGATAGGAAATAAATTCATTAAGTTTTTGTTGAGTTGTTTGTCTCCTCAGTTTATCGATCATTCTAGTGAGCACAATTTCAGCCTTTTGGATGAGTTATTCCAAACACTAAGTACTGTATGGTTTGAAAATCACAGCTAACAAAAGCATTTTTGGAGTAACTTTATCATATGTAAGTCATCCGCAAGTCTTTTTGCATTTGTTAATCTCCGTAATCAATATTATCTCCTGAAATTTGTTGAGAGCATGGCAGTTGGAGAATAACCTGGCTTGCTGAGAACCATGCTTCTGGTAGACTGGAACATAAGCAGCTTTCACCTAGGAGAGCTAATGCATGACACAGATTTTCAAGCTTTTAAAGGTCACCTGACATGAAATAACAGAACTAACAGAGATTCGAGTAGGTGTGGTAATCTGTACTAGCATCCTGCAGGTACAGGATGGCGGAGGGACCAAAAGAATGTTTTAACACTGAGTTTGGTGGTTAAAGGACAGGATGAAGAGCTCATTTATATTGGCTGTACCTGTCTGTGACTGCCGGCAGTGAGAAGGTAGTAAGTACGGTTCCTAAAATACTTTACTTCTCCACACCGTGGAGAACGGTTCTGTATTGGTGAGAAGCAAGCCAAGGCAGAAGAGTGCTCTTGTGTGGTGCAGTTTGGGGGTAGGCCAGCGTACTCTCTACAAAAGAGAGACAAAATGTGACAGCAGCCACTGCTGCCAGCCACCTGCACAGTACTCAGGGTGGGGAGAGCTACGGCGCATCAGCCACCGGTACTGCCTCCAGATTGAACACGTTGCCATAGAAAGGAAATAAAAACATTCTTCTGGTGGCTAAAGTGAATGTAACTTCTGAAATTTCCCTAAATTGTGTTTGGGGAAGTTTAGCATTTTTCAATTCTGATGAGAGGGACTGAAAAATGTAAAAGCAAAACTTTTGGATTCAAAATTGATCAACTGAGTGTAAAAGAAGTTCAAATGATTGAACTTCCAAATGATGTTCAGTCTGTAGCTTTTATAATTTTGTAGTTTTTAAAGCTTAAAATTACACTAAGAACTTTGAGGTACATGTGTATATGTATATATTTTATTGCTTGTGTGTTCTGCATGGTTATATTTAATTAAAAATGGGATTCATTGATCCTGCCTATGTACCCCTGAACTTTAAGTTGAAGGAAAAAAAATGGGATTTCCTGTACATATGAGGAATTAAGCACTATTTGAACGTACAAACACTGACCACTCAGTTTGTGTTAGGTGATGCTGTTGTTGTTGCTGCTAGATGAGGCTGATTTCATTTCAGAGGACTAGGGGTGGTGGAGCCTACACAAGGAAATGCTCCCACCGCCCCATCGCCAGGGATACGCAGTCTAAGGGCAAGACAGACAACTTAGCAACAAATCATTAATTAGCGTCTAGAGGGGCAGTGGGTGAGAGCTCTGGGCATAATATGTGCCAGGTTCCGCTATTCTTCCTAAGAGCTCAATTTTATTATTTGGGCAGTGAAGCTGCAGCTTAGTGACTTGTTCATGCTCACTCCCCTAGTTAGTGGGAATCTGATTAGAAGGTAGGTCCTTATGGCTCTCATGCTCGATTCTTTCCACCAGGGTGAAGGTGAGAGGCATGTGTCTTGCTGGGAGATTGGGAAGGATTTCCTGGGGCAGGTGGCCTTTAGCAGAGCCTGGAGGGGTGACCTGGGTTTTTATAGAGCAGTGATGATTTTGGAACCTTGGCGGGGGTTTGGCTGGAGGTTGAAGTACTTGGAGGGAGGGAGGTGAAGTTGGAAAGTCAGGTTGGGGTATTGAAATACTTGGGCTAGGGTTATACTAGGTAAAGTTGGAGTGGTCCCTGCCTTCATGGAGCATACAGTCCACCAGGAAGGAAGCACTTTAAGCAAAGCTGGCAAGGTGCTGTCAATAAGTACAGGGTTTCATGTGCAGTAGGGGACAAAATTTGTTTTTGGGGGAGGGCAGGTTTTTGTGGGGAGGGAGGGATTCCATGTCAGCAGAGATGGGAAGGGAGAGTTAGCCAAGGTCTAGCAAGGGCAGAGCAGAGTGCCTTAAGGCAATATAGAGAGATTGAGGGGCTGAGAGGCTGAGAAATATCTAGTGCCCCTGGAATCAAAGGGGTGAAAGGGCCAGTGTGATGAGAGAGACTTGAAAGGAAAGACCTGGGCCCAATGAAGACTGAGGTCTCTGGGAGGGGAAAGCGCTGCTCACATTTCCAGGCGTTATTCCAGACTGTTACTCCTTCTGAGTTAGGTTAGTGAGCTAGTCCTTAGGACCCAGTCTTGCTTGAAATCTCCAGATAGGCTTGTTTCTCTTTTGCAGTTCATTTCCCTCCTAGTTTGTCTCACTTCCCCTGCCAAAGAACAGTTGCTCACATTGGGTGTAGCCTCCTCCTATGTGATGGCGACAGTGAGGTGGAGTAACACGATCCATCGAGTCATTTGGACACTCAGTGGTTTGCTTTTGAAACTTGTGCTGGAACCAGTGAATGTGTTTGGGTTAAACCCCACTGGCAGAGCAGTTAGTGATCCAAGACCTCTTTCCTGTTCAGACAACTGTTTTCCGGAGCCTTGCTTTCCCTGGAGGCCCAAGGGATGGGGTCCTGAGTGTGTTGTCCGCCACAGCCCCATGCTCTTTCCCTGCATCTGAGCATACGGAGTGTACCCGCCAGCTAGGGGATCGCCCTCCGAAGGCAGAATGGGCTGCTCTTCCTCCCTGTTGTTTCAAGCAGGGATGGGCTTGTCCCTCTGCGTCAGGGTCTCGGCTGTCTTTTGCTGAGTTGTGGCAGCAGTCGCGTGGGGCAGGTGGGACTGGCATTTCGCCCCCAGACCAGCCCCTCTGAAATTGATCCCATTTCTGGAGAAGAGAGCAGAGCATATTTCTGGCCTTGTGTTTGCTGCCGGTGGGGGTCTTGGAATCACTCAGGGGCTGCCCTGCTTGACCTGGTTGTGTTCCCATCTCGACCTTTGCCATTTCTCAGGGTGCACCACTCCCTTTTGAATTGACCTGGAGGTTCCTGGCCAGAACCTGCAGTTAAAAATTATTCTTAAAGAGGAAGTATCGAGATCTGAGGTTTTTTTTTTCTTTTCCTGCGGAGATGAGGAAATTCTGGCTAGACTCTTGCTGCTTAGTGGCCTGGTTCTTCCGGCTCCCTGGGGGAGGTCACCAGAGGGCTGGCTCCTGAGCCCTGATGATATCTGCCCTTTATTGAGTGCTGATTCTTAGCCGGGTCCTTTGTAAAGTGCTGCTCGTGTGTGGCCTCTTTAAATGTTTACCAAGGGAGGTAGGTGCCCTCACTCATCATTTTATAGATGAAACTGAGTCATGATGCTTGAGAAGCCTGTGCAGGGCCACATGTGACGGAGTGCTGATTCGAACCTAGGCCCTTCTGACCAGAAGTTGTTCAGTCCTGCCTTTACTGTGTGTGTTCCAAAGCAGTTTTGTATGTTTTTATTTTATTTTTAAACCGAATGCTTGCCATACTGGTTATTCTCATTAAACGTAGTGACATTAAACTTCACTCATTCAAAGAAGTTGCCAGTAAGGTTAAATGCTTTTATCTTAACGTTTCCAACTTACATTTAGTTTTCTTGGGAAGTTGTCCACATACCTGCTTCACCCACCTAAGTATTGTGCTCCTAGTATGTTTTCAGAAAATTAAATGTATGTTTATGAGGAAATAAAAATGAATCCTCATATCTGCTCTATTTTCCTGAATATATTATAATATATATAACTATATTTCATATGGAATTGATGCTTCAATATGAATTGGATATTGGGTAAAGGCAGGAAAACCTGCCTTTATCATCCACAATAATTCAAAGTTCATTTCTCTAGTTTTTAAGACGATCCATTTGCTTTCTCCTTCCAGAAAAGCTCTCTAACCTTATTAGCTGTGGCATGTACCCTTGAAATCTTTTTGCTTTTGTTGCTGTTGTTGGTCATTTAGACTAGCATTTGTATTTTGTTTATAGTTTGAAAAGGGGCTTCAAGTACTTTTCCTCTCTAATAAAGGTCTGTCTTTGCCTGGGACTAACGTCACTGTTATGCTGATTTTTCCTTTCTTGTCTTTTGATCTTCCTGTTAGGATTGACTGAGGGAAAAAACCATATAGCTCCTATCTCCTCACTAACAGTAGTTGCTATAACTTGTTCCAGCACTGGCACTTGGTTTAGCTAATCCAAAAAGCATAGTCCAACAGCAGTCCAGGAAAAGTGCCTTTTATTTACTTATTATGAGTGTTAACTTAGACCAGATACCAGCTCTAAGGCTTTGATGAAACTCAGTTGACTTCGATCCTTCTGAGAGCCGGCATGGCTTTACACGGTATAGTTTCAACCTTCCTGTGAGAGCAGTTAAGCCTTTTTGGTTACATAGGTGCTGAGGCACATGTGACCCAGAGTTTCTGAAAAACGTTCTGAGCAAGCAGGCATCTTAAGATATCAATTGGTAAAATACCAAAGGACAAATACATCATCTTGATAAGCAGTATTAGATGCTATATTGGAAAAACCAGAGACCTGGAAGCTCTGCAGGGCAGTAATTCAATCATCAGGTTCTGTTAATGTAATAAGCGACACAAGGGTGAAACCTGAGTAGTTTACATGCACCAGAATGCCCTTCAGTTGAATTATTGTCTTATCATGGTAGTCTGCCTGTACACTACTGTTTTGAATATTAAAAGGCAACACAGCTCACTTCTTCCCCAGATGGAAAAGGCGCAAATCTTCAGCACCTTAGTAATTTGTTTCCTCTTCTTTCCACTCCTTACCTCCCTTAGTCAAAGCTTATATTTGGGGCTTATTACTTGGAAATCTTGTCCAGGTTAATAAAGCATACAGACTTGGCGTTGTTAAAAAATAAAACTGTCACTCCACTGCACTCCATCCTGGGCGACAGAGTGAGACCCTGTCTCAAATTAATAAATAAATAAACAAATAAGTAAGTAAGTAAGTAAGCAAACTCTTTAATTGTCCGAGTTCAGGAGAGAGTTGCTTCTATCTTTGCAGGTAGTGAGGAGGTCTGAGCAGAGGCATTACCCCTCACTGAATTTTCCTTGCTCCTGTGCAGTTTACTAATGATAAATTAGTAAATTGAACTTGGCGTCTCTTGCCCAGTGTGAGAGGCTTATAAAGGGGCCCAGGCTCCTTCCACATATCATGTGCCCCTTTACAGCAGGCCTGGAGGAGGTGATGCCATCCCCATTGAACAAATGAGGAAATGCCGCTGGTGCCCAGACACTGAATGACTTGTATAACTCTGCACAGTTAGTAAAGGATTTTGAAGTTCAGGAATTTGAATCCAGATGTCAGATTCTAAAGACAGGGACTCCAGTCTTGCGAAGTCCTGATGAAGCTTATGCTTTTATCAGGACTTTGCAAGACTGGAATCCCTGCTCTAAGGCGGTATCATCGTCCATAATAACTTTTGATAGAGATCAGGAGGATATGACATAATGTTTTACATTAAGGTCCGAAGTTTTGATGATGACAGTGGAAATGCTGGAGACTGCTCCGTGAGACTCCTGTCGTGGCGTGGACAGCTGCGTAGGCGGACAGCCCTGCTGGAGCCACCCACGCCTGCCGCTTGATAGCTTGGCGGCCTGCTTATGTTCGTATTCTGTTCATCTCCTCCAGGCCCATGGAAAGGGTCAGAGAGTGCCTGCCTCTGCTTTTCCTGTTACCTCCATTATCAAATCCAGACAATAGAGCTCAGCTCCCTCAGGAGAAGGGCTTTCTGTCGCCCTTTCAGCTCAGTTTAAGTGAATGTTTCTCTGATCTAATTGGGTCTTTTTATCTACTTGAACACTCACCATGTTGGTTACCATAAATCACACCCTTTTCAGTTTTGCATGTGAAATTGTTTCACCCCAGTTTCCCCTAGTTTAAGCCAGTTTTAAGTTATGTGTCATTGATTCTTACAACTTTTAGATGTGAACAGCAATCATTAACGCAAATCATTTAGCTTTCTTCAGTAAAAAATTTGTAAATAGGATTTTTTTCTTAAGGCAGGCCATTTATATTGAGGTAATATGGTACTAATTTAAAAGGCCATATATTAAATGGATACATAAAGTGTATTAATGAAACTTTTGGAAGAAGAAAAATTTTTCCAAATTTTGGAAAAATCTTCATTTTTCTTTAATCCGTGATGCTAATACTATTTTCATTTTTTTGCACATTCACTTCTAGTTATTATTTTGTGCATTCACTTCTAGTTATATGTCCATATACATATTTTCATACACCTCACTTTATACGTAGCATGTGTGATTCTTTTTAAAGTGTTAGCTGACTTTCATTTTTAGAGAATTTGATTAATGCTAAAAATCATTTAAAATAAGCCAAATATATTTCTTCTTGATCAGAGTGAGGTTTATGTTAATAGGTGAACACAAGTCTGCTTTTTTGGGCAGGTTGAGGGGCAGCATCAGGAATTGCCATGGGATTTCGAAAGTCTCTGTATGTTTTAACGGGTTATATGGGAGGAGGAGAAACAGGCTTCTGTCCTCTGAAATCTTTAGAATATCTCGGAAAGACCCAGCATGTATGCCAAGGGCATGGCTTATGAAAATAAGTCTATTAGGTACTTAGAGGAAAGGACATTACATTTTACACACGTCCTTCCCAGGTGAGCTCAGGATCCCATTTTCTGCCCTTGAGGCCTTTCCCCCACCCTTGTTACATATTTATGTAACTTTCTTCTTTTTCTTCATTTTCTGTGCTTTGGCACATGCAACTTCCTCTGCCCGCTACACAACCTGCTCAACTGTTAGGATTTAGCGCAGGTGTCACTTCCAGCATGATGACCTTCTTGACTCCTCCCCCTTTTCCATCCAGTCAGGAGCAAGGATTTCTAGTGAGCCCTCTGTGCCTTGTAAATGTCCCCTCCTTCAAGGGCCACGTCAGGGCAGGGCCTGGGCTCATTCAGCTGTCACCTGTCCCAGTACCTGGTGTAGTACATAGTACTAGGTAGAGGGTCAGAATGGATCGGAAATATCAACATTCTCATAAGGGTGTCTTCTTCCTCCTTTTTTCTGTACCCTCCTGTAGTTTTAAAGAATGTGTTATTTACTCTAAAATGGGTGCTTATTTTAGTTATAGTTCTTTAATTAGCTTCCTAAAAGTATTCTCCTGTTTGTGTCTTCCAAGGTAAGATAGACTGTAAAATTCTTCAGCACATATAGTAAGTACTCATTGACAATTGACAGTCTTGTCCTAAAGTGAGATGGTGATAAATTTTAAATTTTCCTTCTAAACTTAAGGAGAAGGGGTTACAGTCCTAAGTACAGAGATGTGGCCTTAAGCTGACAGTAATTTCAGGTTTTTGCTTTTAAATAATCTTCCTTACTATGTAGTATTAAAGTCTTCCCAGAAAAATCAACAAACTGAAACATATTTTGACAATGGTACAGCTTTATTTTTGCTCGAAATTAGTTGCTCTGGTTTCTTATCTTTTCATTCTGAAGTCACAGATAAATATTCTATTATTTTTTCCTGATAGTTATCACATCTGGCTTTTGCATTTGTATGCTTGTATGTGTGTTTTTACTCTGCATTTTCTACCTTTCAAGTCCTTTCCCTTGATTCTTAGAGAACTTCGTGCTTATGATCTGTATGTGACATCTGCTGTTCAGCCAATTTTGAGGCATTATATTTTCATGTCCCTACGAAAATACTTGCTATTCGTTGACTTTTTTCCTCCACCCTGCTCCTGTGTCCAGTGCAGCTTGTTGTATTTGAAGCAAGACAGCTGGAGTGATACCGCGAAAGCCAACTTCAGTTTATTTTTTTCTTCCTTTTTGTTTTTCTTTTAAAAAAAATCATTTTGAAGAACCAATAATCTTGTCATTAAACTATTTCTTTTTGCTGGAGAGAGTTGAGTACAGCAGGAAAATATAAGCATCTTTCTTCTCTGTTTTTCTTTTATTACACCATCCCCAAATCCAGTTTCCCACACTGCCTTCAGTTCATAGAATTCTCAAATGAATATTCATCTCCTTTCTCCATTCCTAATCTAGTTTTTGTAGGGACCATAATGAATAATGAAATTTCTAAAATTCAACTTACTGATAGGATTTCTAACAAATAAAAAGGGAAATATTTTTTAAAATTACGTGTCCAGCGGAGAGCAGTGTGGTGGCATAAATTATTTCGAATTAAAGTTCTTGGTCTTAGCGGTGGTGTCTCTGCAACCCCAGAGCTGTAGTGTAAGTGTGAAAGATACACAGACTGGTTCCGTGAGCATGTGTGCTGCCGCGTGTGGGGCCAGCAAGTAGAAGGGAGAGGTCTGCTGCTCAGTGTGTGCGCACAAAGCTTGGGAGTAAGCCGCAGTCCAAATGATTTGTGAATTGTGGCTCTGTGAAGTGGCTTAATGAATTTGTTCATTTAGTTTTGATTGGATTATAATAAGAGACTGTCTTGTGGTGAGTATCTGGCCGATTATTTTTTGCCTTGTAGATTTTCTTTCTGGTATGTAACGGGTGCATGCTCTCAATAAAAAATAATCCAGAAATTGCAGGTATTTTCTCTGAGAAATAATCTTCAAGGATGGTAGCTCAGAGATTTTGAGGGCATGTTGGTGGTTGATGAATCAGTTTATTATTGAAGCTCTCTCTAAAGTGAGATTTCTCCAAGAGCTGACATCTTTTGGCTTTCTGTTATAAAAGTATCAGCTACACATGGTGACTATTATTAAATGGAAAACAGCCTTTATTTTTCTGATAGACTATATTTCAAAATCTGGAGCTGTTGTTTCTTCTGAACAAAAGTAACTGGGAGAAAAAAAAGACCAAGACTAACAGTATAATATGCTGTATATTTTGCTTGCTAAGAAAACTTAACAGAGTGGTTAACAACTTTGGCTTTATGTAGTAAAGACCTCTGTTAACTGGAATGCTTCAGAAGTGGCATGCTTATGGATTGTGGAAGTTTTAGGTTAACTGATGATTAAGCAGAAATCTTTGTAGAGGATTTTTTTTTTTTAATTACAGTTTGTGATTCTGCTTTTTCTGACACAACATATGTAGTCTGCTTGCATCTTTCTTTGATGGATGAGGCTTAACTCATTGATCTTTCTGAACATTAGTGATCATTGGATAACACTGTAAATTTAAAAGACATAGAAAACTGGGACCCAAGAGAATTCTCTGAAAATCCCATTTATACATTTTATTCTTATAGATAAAGTTAAAACATAAAAACCAAATGTTAAAGGATGTTTCGCTCTCTAAAAGGACAGATTGTAAGGAAGGCATTCTGTCATCCAGCTTTCCACCAGTTCACTTAGACTCTGCATCTGTGAGTTTTTGAGTATTTTCAAGGGGGTGTGGTTGAGTGTTGAGGTCCACAGTAGCTCTGGTCATACCCGGAGGTTCTGGATTTAGATAACATGGCAACAAAATAAATATGTTTACTTGGTGCATCTCCAGTGCCTGTAATTTAGAAGTATCACTGCTAACTGTCAGATTATATTTTTAACCTTTTAAACTAGCACTTTCTTGTAATGCATTGGACTGTTGTAAATGAGATTAAATCAGGGTTTCAATTGAGGAGAATTTGGACCAGAAAGCAAAGCCGGAGATGTCGTATGTGATATATCATTCTCCAGAGCTGTTTAGTTAGAGGGATGCCTTTTGTTTAAATAAGAATAAAAATAATAATTGGCTACTTCAGCCCACTGACCTTAGAAATTGTTACATCCTCTGATGTAATTTATTAGTGTAACTTATTGAGTGCCAAGTGTTTTAATTGATGCATAAAGCACAGAATTTATATGGGACTCCTGCCAAGGGTCTCCCTCTAAAGTTGAATGTATCTTTCTTTTCCTCTTTCTCCTTCCCTTCCACCATCCCTCCTCTTTCTCTCCCTTCTCTTCTTCTTCTTGTAGTTGTGCACTCTGAGATCATTGCTTTCCAGGTAGACCTTGGCAGTTTGTCTTTGGCAGCTGCTTCTAGGAGTCATGTGGAAAAAACCCACCAATATAGAATTAGTCCGTTTCTCAGCTTTTTGAAAAACTACTTCACACTTCCTTGTCTTCTAGTTAGAGGTGACGCTGTTATGCCTGGCTAGTGTCTAGTCTTACATTGACTGGACAGGTTTGCTTGGGTGTTACCTAAACAAAATGAATTTTCACCCACCCAGTAGAAATCTGTACTGCAGAAGAGGTAACAATGTCAAGTTTACAGCTAGGGGTTAAAGATGGGATTTGTAACCTCTTTCAGAAAGTTTTATGTCTCATCATTAACACAAGCCCATTGTAACCTTTTTTTCTACTTAGAAAGGCTGTTAAGTGTGCATAGTAAGATGAATTTTTTGCTTGAAATTTGAGAAATGTCTTCCTCAGTCATTGAAATGAGTAACAGAAAAAAATGAGCTTTTTGGACCACATAACATGCCATTGCTCTGCCTCTGGATTAAAGAGGAGGAAAAGAATGAAACCCTGTGCTACCTAGAGCTTAGTGGTTCATAGGATCCTGTCCCATTGCCTGAACAGCAGACATTTTTCCAGGTTCCCTTGAGCCTACTTTGACCCTGGTTCCTTATCACCTCCAGAATATTGCTGATTTGAATGTCTTAAGTTTGATTCTTCTGCTGAAAATCAGGCTAATGCATATAGAAAGGAGCAGTGGAGAGGAGTACATGGTTTCCCCTTCTAGGGTATTGAGCAACAGAGTTATGAAAAAGACCACTCCCATTTGTGCGTGGAGCTCTGATTTGACCATCAGTTCTTTAAAAAGCAAGATTGAATGTGTGATCACATTTGAGGCTGATGGATTTAAGATTTTAAATTAAACTGTTCTGAGTTTATTTAAATTGCTGATGTTCGTTAGGGAGATGAAAACAGATTGATTGTTGCAGAGAATTCAGAAACCTTTAAAAGTAGTGCTTGGATCATTCTCGTAGAACTATTAGTTGATGTTAGATAGTTCAGTTTGAGGTTGGGATGAGCTCTCCTGCTCTGAGCTGCGGTTCCTTGCCTGACATCTCTTCTGTACCTGTGAAGTTATGGGAGGCACTGAGGTGCATGTTTCCCTTGGGCAGCCTTGTGGCTGCTGCCTTTGCTGCCTGTGTATCCGTGGCGGAGGCTGCTTTGTGTGCTGAGATGCTCCGTGATGTGGGTCAGCCAGGCCGCGTGCCTTGCCTCTCCCCAGCCTGCTCTCGCTGCACCAGCTTGCCACTGACGCCTATGTCTGTCAGGTGTTCACCCGAGCATTAGAGGGCTCAGAAATTTGCTTTCTTCAAGAACTGGCTGTTTTTGTTTCGTCATTTTCCATGAGGAGGTAAAAGTAACTTCAGGAGTATTCTTTACAAATTGTACATGTATTTGGCAAAAAGTGCTGCATCTCAAAACAGATGGTGCATTTCTACATAGATTTTGACACAAAGCACCATACAGATGGAGTTGGAGTCCGACCATGGAATTCAAAAAGGCATTTTTCAGGATTTGAGTATTTTCTCTCTTGGGGGTCCCCTGCAACTTTATAATCAAAGTACAGGTGATTCTGTGGTTCTTCTTTTTATTCAAACACTGAAATGTATTCATGAATTATGTTCCACAATATCTACCTTTATTAGACTATGAAATGACAGCTGCTTAACAGCATATGATAGTTGTTACTTTAGTAACTTCGTAAAACGTCCTGTTTAGTACACTTAAGAAGAAGTCAGATCTACTATTAGTGATGTGTGAATAATAATGGAATATTAAAATTTTAAAGGTTTGATCCACCAAGCCTGTCTTAGCATTTATTCCGTTTCAGACTATCACTGACTTACGGCATAACTAAAATATATAGAGGGGCACATCAGTTTCGCATACTGTCAGTCTGGTAATGTCTGTCATTCATTCATTCATCTTGTGTGCAGTCTTAATAGTGTGATTACGGAGACGCTCAGTTCATGTCGAAACAGTGATTTTTCCTGTGGTGTTGGTTTGTTTGTTTTCTCAGGTGCTTTTCACAGCCTGAGTTTTACTTCTTTCTTGCTGACAAAGTTGATGAACATGTGGGGAGGCAATGGGAGGTTTACATGTGATTCAAGCTGGTCCAGCCTGACAGGGGACTATAGGGGTTTTCAGAATTGCAGGGACAGCTGGGTAGAGGGTGTCACTGGGTAAGCCACAGAATCCTTAATTATCTAACAATGCGGCTTGCTTCTCCCACACCCTAAATGATGGGGCATTACATACCCAATCACTTTCCTGGTTTGGTGCTGGCAGGGGGTGGAGATAGAAGGGGAGGAAGGAAAGGAAGACAGATGGGCCAAGGAAGGTGGTGGAGTAGGGAGAGGATGGGGGAGGAGAGAGACCTTGTGGGTCGCTGAATACAGTAGGATTGAAAAACAGTAGGTTTTCTTTGTGCTTGGGAATTTCATGATTTAGTTGCCTTAGGCTAGTTATGAAACTATGAAAATTGATTGGTTTTTCTGTATTTGCTTTGCAGTTGCTTATTTTCTAAGGAAAGTATCCTGTAGTTTCTTCGTTGGGCTATTATAGTTGGTTACTTATTGACTGACTTCCCCCTACTCCCCATTTGTTGCTCCTTTATTGTTGTTAACTTTCTGTTTCATTCCTCTTCTTCTTTGGGTACATTTTAAAATTTGGTTCATTAAAAAAAAAGTTTTAGATTTACTTTTGTCAAGTACCTGAAGGACTTGTTTAAAATTTTTACTGCCTTTTATGTTTCAGCTTATTTCCTCACCACACACACCTTCTGTTTTTCTATGTTGCAAACTTAATTTTTTTAAAGGTAATTTTCTAAAAATATGATTCTCCTATCTAGTGAGATTCTACTAGCACAGAGGAAAGAAAAACCGGGCCCGAAGTCCTCACAATAATCATGCCACACATCACTCCCAATTCAAAAGTCTTTCCAGTGGGTAAAATTCAGCTCCTTTCTTTGGAAGGAATGGTGCAAACCAGCTTCTTTACTAAAAAATAAGGAGAGATTTTAATATTTGAGGTTTGTCGTTTGTAGAGCAGTTCATTGCTGTTAAAACTGGCTTTCATCAGAAATGATGATTAATTAATTCTGAAAATGGACCTTTCTTCCTTCCCCTTCTCTTTTTCCTCCCTAGTTGACATCTTAGCACATGTCTGAACAAAATGGAAATGCAGCTCTGTTGATTATAGCTAAATCATGCATCATGATGCAAACATGTATAATTTAGACCTGGGTGCTTCAGTTGAGTGCTCGTATGTCTGAAAGGTTTGTGATTTTACAGAACTGATAGATACTTCTCATTAATGTCGTCAGGACTTGTAAAGAATAGTTAATAACCACCTCCTCCTCCCCAAACACAAGCAAACTCCTTCTGCCCCATTGTACTTATTCATTTAAAATGAATTAAAACCATACCAATGGTCATTTTAAATGAAAGCCATTTGGATATGTTCTTGTTAGGTGTAAATTAATCTAATTTTTCAAAGTAGCGCAACAGTAGACACAATAATAATGTCTCCTTAAGTTCTATTTTGCCTTTACAGTGATGTCTAAAAAGAAAAGGACATTATATTTAAGCAAACCTTTGAAAATAACTCCTGTTTTGAAAACAAGTTTTTGAAAGCTTCCAAGTCAAGACTACCTACGTTAGAGTTATCTGCAGATGCAATACAGTCCTCAGTAGGATCGTATGCCTGTTGAGGAGGATGTTTGTCAACTTCTCCTTATGGAATAACAGCAGGGAAAAAGAATATTGAAGACTTAAAAGTATTTTTAGTTTTAAGTTTATGCCAAGGACTTAATAGTGTTTTCTGTTTGAAATTTTGGTTTAACCACAAGATGGAAAAATTGATAAGGCAAGAACTAGTGCCCACGGGATCTAATGGGCAAGTCGGGGGGTGACTTGGTGTCACGGGAGCAGCATCGCTGTTCATCCCAAGGTTCAGGAGGGAAGGCTAAGAGAATGGGAAAGACGCATGAAGCTGGTGGGTTTGCTGGCCTGGGCATGGGGTTGCTGACGTAGCAGCTGAACATTGATTTCTATCCTTTTCCCCCCGGTATTCTATTGTTCAGTTGTCCTGTCAGCTGAGGAGAGCATTAGTTCAGGAGTGTAAAAATAGTCGTTGTGTCTGGTTTGGTTAGAGCCCAGTGGCTAAGGGTAAGGTTTGGACCATCTGGGAGGGATGGCTGTTCACAGTGTTGAACAGTTTCTTGGGGAGTCTGGGATTGCCTTGCATAGATGAAAGTAAAACTTCTTTCGGTCAACTTAAGACAAAGTGACTGTTTGATTCATAACGAAAATGCTTAACATTTTCCAGACGTTTTTCTGTCACTGTGTGTATGGATCAGGGAAAATTAAATGTAGGAAGGGATGTCATCAGACCAGAATCTTGTATATGTGCTCCTGTGCCCTCAGAGCTTTTGTCAGGAGGGTCATCAGGACTGGCAAGGCAAGACCGGCTGCCACGTGAATAGCCAGTTAGGCAAATTAACATCTTTTCCTCTTTGACCTGTTAGGCTTTTTCTGAGGTGGAATTTGCCTCACAGTTTTTAGGAGATAATTTATTTTGTAGACCACATATTAGTTTGTTCTCACGTGGCCATGAAGAAATACCCGAGACTGGGTAATTTATAAAGAAAGGAGGTTTAATTGACTCACAGTTTCTCATGGCTGGGGAGGCCTCTGGAAACTTACAATCATGGCAGAAGGCACCTCTTCACAGGGCATCAGGAGAGAGAGTGAGGCAAGCAGGGTAAATGCCAGACACCTAAAAACCATGAGGTCTCATGATACTCAGTATCATGAGAACAACATGGGGGAAACCACCCCATGATTCAATCATCTCCACCTGGTCCAGCCCTTAATGTGTGGGGATTATTACAATTCAAGGTGAGATTTGGGTAGGGACACAGAGGCAAACCATATCAGACCCTGTTCCTGGATTTGAATTACTAGTATTTCATGACAAGGAAAATGCTCTGTAGTGTTTTACAAAGGCCCTGATAAGCTTAAACAATTGCAGAGGGTGTTGCATGTGGCTATTCAGTACCACATCAATGTAGTTCCGATCTTTTCCAATTCTAGAAAGTTTTCATTAGTGGTGATCTCTAATTTACTGTGATTTGAGTCTACCTATCCTCCTTTGAAAAAGAGGTCAGTGTGGGCTCATAACTTTGGATACCAACCCTGATCTCTGCTTCACCTGTAAAATTTCGGCTACCCTTTAACAATAAAACAAACTCAAGTTTTCAAGTAAATAGGCAACCAATATATTACTCATTTAGAAATCTGTTGGGCAGAATCAAGACATTACTTCTTGAATTCTGTTATCTGTAAGTGGAGGCTTGCTCCTACCCACTGCACTGTCTGAGAATATGGTGAGCCTGTGAGAGGAAACTTCCACTGAGCCATTAGGCTCCCATTTACCAGTGACTCGTCCCTGGATGTCTCACAGTTGCTAAGTTGTCAGAGTTAGGAATTTAATACTTAGAAGTAGTGGTGAGCTCCGTGAACAGCGTGGGGACTACATCAGAATAGTATCCTTGCCCTAGAACCTGGCAGGTGCCTAGAATATTGTGGGAGCTTAGTAGAAATTTATTAAACAAGGAATGAATGAATCAATCTTCCGTACCCTTCTCTTTGCATACACATTTACACATAATTACATATACATTTGTCCTTTACAAAATTCTCAGTTTGATTTTTTTTTTTTTTTTTTTTTGCCTTCCAGGCCAGTTCAGTTCCTTTTCATTTTAAATGAAGAGGATGAGGTTATGGCATACTTTTTTTAAAAAGCACTAAAGATTGCTATTTATAATACTTATTTTTAATAAAAATAGGAGTACATAGCTTTCATGTTTCAAATAAAAAAGGTGAAAAAAAAAAAAAAAACTACCGCCCTGTTTTTTTAAAGTTTAAAAAATTATAGGAGCAGGTTTAGATCTTTTTAAACTACAGCTTTTTTCTTTGCTTTTAAATTTGGTCTTCTGTAAAAACTGTTCAGCTACTACAGAGAGTTCCCATATATCCTTCATGCTGCTTCTAATATCAGTTTTCATGTCCATGGAAAAATTATGGAACTTGGAAATTAACAATGGTACAATATTAGTGCTGAAACTACAGATCTTACATGAGTTTCACCAGTTTTTCCCCCAATCCCTTTTTTTCTGTCCTATAATCCAGTCCAGTATCTCACATGTCACAGACAGTCCAGTGTCTCTTTACTTCCTTCTAACCTGTGACAGTTCCATAGTCTTTCATGACTGTGACTCTTTTGTTGAATACTGGTGGGTTATTTTGTAGACTGCCTCTCCATTTGGGTTAGTCTAATGTGTTCTTGCGGTTAGGCTGAGGCTATCCAGGTTTGTTGAGAAGTCCACAGAAGTCATGTGTTCTTAGTGTATCACAGCAGGATACACTGTGTACAAATAATGATGAAATGTCTTACCTTGATCACTTAGTGAAGCTGACGTCTGCTTGCTTTTCCTCTGCAGTTATTATTATTCCTTTGTAATTGATAAATATCTTGGGGGAGACATATTGAGATGAATTTTCATGTTTTCCCTTAGACTTTCACCCACTGATTTTTAGCATCCATAGGTAGATTTTGCCTGCAAGTTATTTCTGTGATGTTTACCTAATGGTGATTTTATATTTCCTTCATTTCTTTTATGTTAATTAGAATTCTTCCTTTAGAAAGATCTGTCCCTTCTCCTCCATTGAATATTTATTCAGTTTTTAAATATCAAAATGGAGCTTTGGATATTCATTTTTTCCTGTGGTTGTAATCCAAAGAAGTAGTTATTATGTACTTTTTTGCTCAAACTGTTTCAGCTTTTGCCGTTGTGAGTTCCAGCAGGTTGGCTCCTGTGTCCTTTTGACATTCCCCATTGGGCACTTCCTTGATTTTTGGGACCATATGATATTTCAGGGTCATCTCTTATTTTCCCTGTCCCTCCCTGTAATCAACCACTTTTTCACTGAGCCTTATTTCCTTTTATAGGAGGATGATATTTAGTAGCTAGGATCTGGGTGCTAATTGAACTCATTGTTACTGGATTGTCATTGCTCCTAGACCCTCTCAGTGGAGAGCTAGGAAAAACGCGTGTATACGAGCCTATGCTTGTATGTACATCTATATTTATTTCTATATACATGTATTTTTATGTGTGTGTATACTCATACTCATACTGTACTACTGCTGATTCCAATCTAACACCCTAAGAATGATTCCAGACTTCTCTCTTCCCTTATTTGTAACTTTTTCGTATACAGTGAGAAGGCCTGGTTCTCATTACTATTTACTTCTTTGTTCAATCCTGTTGTATCATTGAGGATTCAACCAGAGAAACGGAACTAGCAGGAGATATATTAAAAAGATTTCTTGCAAGGAATTGGCCTGTGTGTTAATGGGACTGGCTAGGTGAGTCCAAAATCCATAGAGCAGGCTGCCAGGAAAGAAAGGCTGGAACTCTTGGGCATGAACCACAGCTGCTGTACACAGGTGGGATTCTTCAGGGAAGCCAGAGTTCTGCTCCTGACGCTTTCCCTCTGATTGAATCAGGTCCCCACAGGCTATCCAGGAGAATCTGCTTTATGTAAATATAACTGATGATGGACTTTAATAGCATCTACAAGATACTTTGAAGGCAGCGTGCAGATTAGTGTTTGATTGAATAACTAGGGACAATAGTCTGGCTGAGTTGACACATAAAACTGGCCATGACACCTAATATATGCATATTATAGTTACAGAATTGTTAATATGATAGACATGATTGTACAATTTTGTTAAAGTATAAAGAATCGTAAAATTTATAGACATGATGAATGTAAAATAGCACTATTCAGATCTCTAACTATACCTTTTATTTATCATCTTGTTGGGCTTCTTGCCGTGTTACCCCAGCCCTGTCTTTCCCTGTAACCCCAGCATTTAGTATGGGGCCTGGTACAGGAATAAAAGGAATAAGGTTTTCCATCCTAATATTTCTTTATTACTGACATTACTCTTTGCCAGTGTTTTTGTTACAGGAGAAGAGGGATATGGAAAACCCAGTTTGGCAGGGGTTAGAAAAAGACCAAAAGGTGGGTGTTAAGTCCTTGATTATAGGTGTATTGCTATAAAGAACTGCCTGAGACTAGGTTCTTTGTAAAGAAAAGAGGTTTAATTAGCTAACGGTTCTGCAGACTGTGCAGGCAGCATGGCTGGGGAGGCCTCAGAAAACTTTCAGTCATGGCAGATGGCAAAAGGCAGGCACATCCT